AAAACACAAACCCTTGACTTGCTCTCCCCTCAGTCCCTCATTTTTGCCTCTCTTCCTGAGGAACTTCTTGAAATTGTTGCCTGGATGTGGCCCCACTTCCCCCTTCCACTCGCCCTCCCACCGCAGCGGCCGGCCTTGCCCTCCGCTACACCGCGGAGACAGCTGCTCTTGAGACAGGCTCACCAGCGCTCTCCTTGGTGAGGTCCCAAGCCTTCACCCAACTGCTTGGCTGCAGCACACATGGCTGCTTGCAGCCTCCTCCTCAAAATGTCCTTTCCTCATGGCTTCCCTAACACCACATCCTAGTTTTCCTGCTGTCTCTCTGGTGACTTCCTCCCAGTTGCTTTCCTGGTAACCTCTTCTGCCAGTCCCTTACATGTCAGCATTCCTGGAGGGTCCCTCCTTGCTGCAATTCTCTTCTCACTCCAGGAGCTCCCTCCCTGGGTGCTTCTGTCTATCTCCACCTTTGGCTTAATAAGCATCTCTAGGCTGGTGAGTCCCAGGTCTAACTCCAGCTCAGCCCACTCTCCTGGCCTATGAATGCATAGAGCCTATTGGACGTCTCTGTGAGCCTGCTCCTCTCTGTACCCCCCGCCCCTCAGCTCCTGACACAAGAAACCTGGGTGTACTCCCTGAGTTATCCAAGTCCCACCAGTCACCAAGTCCTACATATGACACTTCCTGAGTGACTCTCAAACCAAATCCATCCTCCTGTCTCCACATCTTTAATTCTGGCTGCAGTATCTCTCACCTGGATTTCCACAGCAGCTCTAAAGGAATCTGGGTCTTACTACCACCAATTCCCCACCATTCCCTCCAACTAAATTTTCTGAAGCATAATCATGTCTTTTCATTCTCCTACCTCAAGCCCTTTAAGGGGGTCCCCATTGTCCTCTGGTCGAAGTTCAAATTCCTTAGTGAAGCCTACCAGGTCCTGCTCTCTGTCCCATTCTTGCCCTTATACTCTGTGAGTCAATCAAAACAGACCACTCGCAGCCTTACAAAAGCATGGTGCTCTTTCCCACCCTGGGCCCATGTATGATTTCATTCTTTCCACCTAGAAAGTCCTTCCTTCCCGCCGCACCTACTTTTTCTTCAGGTCTCAGCCTAAACACCATCCTTCCAGGATGCCTTCCTTTGACCTCTTGCCCATCTGGATTAGCTGCCTCTTCGATGGGATTTTACAGTACCTCATGCTTTTCCCTACCACAGAAGTTTTTACACTTAAATTTACCTTTTTGTTTCTCTTAATATTTAATTGTAAACTTCTTGGGGTTGTTTTGTTTTACAGCATATCCTCAGCATCTAGCAGATGCTAGACACACAGTGAGTGTTCACTGAGTGTCTGCTGAAAGAGTGTCTACTCAAACATTTGCAAAGGAACATTTCCTCTATTTTGGTAGTAATAAATTGTGTGTCGTTTCATTACCTGCTCTAAACAGCTTATGTTATAAAAATGAAACAGGCTGATTTAGCAGAACAACTCCTCCTAGGGAAACTTGAAAGGCTGGAGAAGGTAAAGTATCTGAGAGGTGGAGACTAGCATGTGGACGCTGACACATGGCACTACCACCAGGCCCGTGTGTAGGAGGTGGCGAGGAGGCCAGGCAGCCACCAGCTTCGTTTGCCTTGGCTCGCCACACGGATGGGATCACTTGAGACCTGGCTGCTTTGGAACAGTTTCCATTTGCTCCACAATTTCCACCTGTCAGTGTGTCATTATAGAAGGAGCTCTGGGCTGAGATCTAGGTTAGTCTTGGCTCTGCCCACTAGCTGAATTACTCCAGCCATTATTCCACTATGGATTTTGCACTGGAAGTAGCTAGTACAGTTTCTACAATATGGCAAACACATAAATTTATGCATTATTCATGTAACAAAGACCTATTTTACACCTACTACGTGTCAGATAATGTTCTAGGTATTGAGGATACAGACAAGGTCCTGACTTCCTGTCTGTAACCAAAGGGTGAACTAGATGATCCGTAAGGTCTCTTCCAGCTCTATAATTCTGAGCCTTTTTTTACACAGGTACAAAGTTATGCACAGAAGGCTAGTGGCAAAGCATCAGGCTTCAGCTTCCCTCCCTATTCTCCTCCCTTGGTGCCATCGCCATTCCAAACTCAGTTCTTGGAAAACAGGAAAAGATCTGGTATCATTTACATTCTGTCTGTAACCCAAGATTTAACTCTTCTAAGTATCTGTTATTTAATACTTTTATCTTTTTTTGCAGAATTGAAAGCTTTATCTTGGTTGGGACTTCAGGCAATTACAAGGAAGCCTGGCAAGATGTTTTAGGCAAAGTTAGGTGCTTTGGAAAAAGGACAGGGAGAGACAGAGTGGCCTTCTCTAAGTGTAGTATCTCTAAGTTTTGCCTGAAAGTGTACTAGGTGCTTGGGTAGGGTCCTTCTCTTCCTTCTGGTTGGTGTCCTCCTGGTCCTATCTCCTTCCCTCTACAGATGTAACCTTAAGGTCCAAAGTTCCTACCACTTCACTATCTGGTACGCTGATGCTGATTGGGAACAAGAGATTCAAGGTTTCCCCACCATGTGGGGGGAAGGGAAGCTACAGGCTGTAAGTAAACGGGCAGAGCAAAGAGCAGTGCTCAGGTCAGGAACCTGATTTGGAATGCCAGGCCATCATCATTCCAGCTGAGTGTCAGGTATGGGCTGGCACTAAGGAATAACACTTTTTATCATTGTCTTGAAAACCCTGGACTTTAATGCTGATCCTGGATAATTAAATGTGAAGTCAAAAGGGAAATTTTTGACTACATAAAAGCAAAACCAGTTATTTAAATTTACTGTTTGTCTCATTACCATACAGTGTTATGTGGAATTATGTCAGATTGACACAAATAATTCTTTATTAATAGTAAACTCTGCCTTCAGATTTGTAGTGTATGATGAAATACATGGCACAGAGACAAAGATCTGAAACACCCACCTCCTTTTTTGTTTTGTTTTGTTTTGAGACAGAGTCTCGCTTTGTTGCCCAGGCTACAGTGAGTGCCGTGGCATCAGCCTAGCTCACAGCAACCTCAAACTCCTGGGCTCAAGCAATCCTGCTGCCTCAGCCTCCCGAGTAGCTGGGTCTACAGGCATGCACCACCATGCCCGGCTAATATTTTCTATATATATTAGTTGGCCAATTCATTTCTTTCTACTTATAGTAGAGATGGGGTCTTGCTCTTGCTCAAGCTGGTTTTGAACTCCTGACCTTGAGCAATCTGCCCGCCTCAGCCTCCCAGAGTGCTAGGATTACAGGCGTGAGCCACTGCGCCCGGCCCCACCTCCTTTGCTTAATAATTACAATGTTGGTATCTTACCTTCTCTGTGCCCATTTCCTCAACTGTAAGATACTTGCCCCACTTATCTACAGGGTTGATGTGAGAATCAAGAGACAACATATGAAAATGCTTTGGAAACTGTGGTGTTTTATGCACAGAAGGCACCATTACTACTGAGTTTCTTAGTATGGCTGGCTGTGCAGCCCTGGTCATTGGCTGCCATTTGCCCACCTCCTTGCCCACTTGGGTGTCCCCACAATAGCTTTCCTCAAGCTTCTAATGACATTTTCCCCACACTGAATTCTAGAGGATATGTAGAAACCAAAATATAGCTAATTCTTGTCTGTTCCTGAAGCAGCTGTTCCTTTACTGTGCTTGAGATCCCTTTTCCCTGAGCCCTGGAAGATGGAGGGTAGTGGCAAGGTTTATTTTCTCCAGGTAGTTAATTCATTTTACCATTAAATAAAACAAGTTTTAGGATTTTTCCCTTGTATAAGGCACTGGCTTGGGTTCAGCAGGATCGGGCATGGTGCATCTAAAAGAATCTGCTGTGGAGTCTGGCTGACTTGAGTTCAAGTCCAGATTTGGCCGTTGATGTAGAGCTGTGTAGCCATGGCAAGTGACTGAGCTTCAAGTTCTTTTCTATATTAGGTGGTATTACCTATTTTGCAGTGTTATTCAAAGGATTATAATTCATGCCTGTGAGTGACTGGCATGTAGTAAGTGCATAAGAGATGACACATGAGCAATAAGGCCCATTTTGGAGCCCAAAAGATGGCAAAAGGAATTGTGGAAGACGAGACATAAAGACCAACAGAAAGGTACAGAGAGGGAGGTACTGTCTTCAAAAAATAGTGAGCATCTTGTTTTTATCAGGACTCAAGCAGCAGCTGAACGATCGATGGGAATTCTTCAGAAAGCATGTATATCTGTTCAACTCTGAAATCTCTTCAATTTCTTTTTTTTTTTGAGACAGTCTTGCTCTGTCACCCAGGCTAGAGTGCTGTGACGTCAGCCTAGCTCACAGCAACCTCAAACTCCTGGGCTCAAGCAATCCTCCTGCCTCAGCCTCCCAGGGAGCTGGGACTACAGGCACGCACCACCACACCCAGCTAATTTTTTCTATTATTTTTGTAGAGACAGGGTCTCTACTCTCGCTCTGGCTAGTCTCAAACTCCTGAGCTCAAGCAAGTTCCGAGTAGCTGGGACTACAGGCATGCACCACCATGCCCAGCTAATTTTTTCTCTATATATTAGTTGGCCAATTAATTTTTTTCTACTTATAATAGAGACGGGGTCTCGCTCTTGCTCAAGCTGGTTTTGAACTCCTGACCTTGAGCAATCCGCCCGCCTCAGCCTCCCAGAGTGCTAGGATTACGGGCGTGAGCCACTGTGCCTGGCCTGATCTCTTCAATTTCTAAGGCCATATTAAAAAATGTCTGATTCTGCTGAGAGAGAGCAAAAAAATGTCCAATTTAGAGAAAAAATTTTATAAGTTCAAATACCCAAGGGTAAAGATGAGGTAATACAGTGCCTATGCTGCACAGTTATACAAATGAAAAATTAAGAGGACAGTATTGATTGCTCCTACATTGTCACTGAAAATCCAATTTAAAGATTTATTGTGGTCTAGGTATTTTTAACTTTTTAATTTTTCCATTGGTAATTATCAAGATGATTGATACTAAAAAGTACTGTTAGGAAACTCAAATGCTTTCAAACATAGAACTTATTTATTTTGGTTGAGAAATATTAATATGAAAAAGGTGAGTTTGTGGGCTGGTACTTCTTGTGCTCTGCTTGGCTTTAGAGATAAGAATAGTGAGCTGAATTATCAGGCAACTGTGATCTATTCCAAGTTCCAAGGTTTCCTTCTGCCTGGGCTATGTGACTATGAGCAGGTCTTTCACTTCACTGGGCTCAGACTCCTTAGTGACTGAATGAGGTCACCACCTCCCTGGCAGGTAGTACGTGTTAAACATTTTGAACTTCTGAGATTAAGGCCAATTGCTACTGGGATTATATTTATTTATAATTAAACAACTCTAAGCAGATCAGGTAAAAGTTATTAATGAGGAAAAAGCCAAATGTTGTCTAAGGCAAAATTTGCAGACACTATAATAAATGATTCTCTTAACTGTGCAGTGTGGACCCAGGGGTCCCATGAGGGAGACCAAAGGATACCTCTTAGCCTTCCAGGTTTTTCCCTATCATGGGATAAAAACCTAATGAAATATCAGTAAAATAAATTTATATACTTCTATGAAGACAAATATCCCTGAAGTGAAGCAAATCTACCATAGGAGAAATGGTTTTTAGATTCCCTTGTAAAAAAATAATTTGACCTCTTCTCCCTATCCCAAATCCCTGAGGCTTTGAAAGGATAAAGACACCAATTTGGAGCTCTTTTAAAGGATTTATTTGCTATAGAATTGCTTGAGTCCACCAATGAGATGAACTCAAGACTTCTGTGTTTAAAAGTATTTTGCTATTTTTACAAATGCTGCAACATTCAAAAAGCAATTCTTTTTGCCAGCATTTGGCATATTTAGAAGAGGTTAGAAAAAGTTAAAATCTATCGAATTAGATGTTTAAAAATAGAAAAAACCCAAACATTTTAAAATTCATTTGGACAGGTCCTGAGTTGAAATCACATTCATCTGTAAAAAGAACTGTTTTAAATCAGAAATGTAGAACCATAGATCCTGACCCTGGACTTGACTGGTGAAGCTTTCCAGGCACTGTATGGGTGACAGGATAGACGCCAGGCAGTTGGCCAATTCTGGCATGTGCCCTACTTGGCCTGTGAAAATTTTATAAATATCTCTTAAACCTAAACTTCCTGGTTCCCTGAAACTGATTGTCTTAATCTGATTCCCAATATTTTTTAAAACAAATGAACACAACTTTTCCCTGCAAGATAACATGTTTAAGTATTGGTTGCTTGTGGATAGATACAGAGAAACCAAGTACAAATGTGAATTAACAATTCAGTGATGTAGCTGTGAAATCTCTGGATGGCTATGTAAGCTGTGAGAAGGTCCCTCGCTGGCTCTGCACTTGCCACTAGAGGTGACCATCCAGACATCAACCTGAAGAGGGTGTGAACCCCAGCAGCTGCTCGATGGGCTTAAACCGCCACTCGTCGGCCTCCAGCTCTTCTACCAAACCAGCTAGTTTTTCCATCCGAGCAACTTGCTGATCTGTAAATAGCCAAGGAGGTAATATAATACAACAGTGTATTCCCCATGAGACTGGCACCAAGCACCACAATGATGACTGGTTTAAAAAAAATTTCTAGATAGATTTTCCCTCACTAGTCTTATAATGGGGTCTTTTTCTATGTTGGTCAGAAGCTTAGTCTTCAAAAAAATAAAAAAAAGGAATATTCCCAATTATTCTCCCTTCACCTTCACTGCTTTTGATTGAACAGCTAAAAGCTAAAAGCTTCCAGATAAAAATAAACATTTACTTGATCATTCTGAATATTAAGCCATCAAGGATCATAAGTTCCCCATCTCCCTTCTTTAAACATATCATAGCAGCCTCAAAGAACTTCTGTCCTCTACGGTTTTTTATTTTTGAGTCTGAAAATGATAAAAACCATTTTTAAATAAGATGATCACATGTTCAGTATGTGCTCTATTCTTAAAAAAATTACTCATCCTCTATGCCACAATGATTTGTGGACTAAAATCTTAGGGGTAGAGGCAACTGCAGCTTTTCCTGCTACATAATGCTTTCAATGGAGAAATGGTCTGAAGTGGGGGAACATAGTTTGTTGATGCATAAACAAAGGGTTGGCAAGGCATAATGGAACAGAAAGGTGCTACCAGGATCTCAAGAGTCCAGATAGACCATGAGGTATTACATAACTACTTGAAGATGAAAATGATAATTAATGGTAACCAGTAGAGGACAAAGGAAGTTTAAGAAAGGAGAGGAAAGAGCAACACAAGAGGAGCAGGAAGCATTGACTTCCCTAGAGAACCAACTTTATTTTTTTGAGAACCAACTTTTGATGTCAACTTTATGCCTCGATGTGGACATTATGTCTAGATTAAGATCTCAGAATGCTCTTTAATTTAGGAAGTCCGCTTAAACAGCCATGCTGAGTTTGGGGGTTTTGTCACAGCACACTAACCTTTTGGAATCCCTCTCCCCAACCTTCCTCCCTGGAAATTTACTCTCATCGTCAAGGACACAATACTTATGTGCTTACCATGTTTCACCTGTTTAAGCGTGGATGCCACTTGATAGCTGAACACAGATTCGCAGAGGAATCTCTCAGAGCCATCTACAAACAAAAGGGGAAAAGGTTTTAATCTGCTCTAAGGGTCTTATGGCTTCTGATAAACCAAGTAAATGTGTTCATTCTTTTCCCTGCTTTTACATTCATGGTCTAGTTTTTAGTGTTTATAAAGAGAGCTTCTGTTTCATTTAGAACTAACACTACTCTGTTATAAAAGCTACCTTTTCTATACCTAGAATTTTAAAAATAGTCCCTCTACTTGTTTAAAAGTTTAAAAATAGTATTTAAAAAAACAAAAACAAGAAACCTCAGTCTGATGTGCTGGTAAACATTTCCCCCCTTCCAACCTGACAGTTACTTTTTTTTTTTTTTTCTTTTTCTTTTGAGACATAGTCTCACTCCGTCACCTGAGCTGGAATGCCGTGACATCAGCCTACCTCATAGCAACTTCGCACTCCTGGGCTCAAGGGAGCCACACCCTCCCAAGTAGCTGGGATTACAGGCATGCGCCACCATGCCTAGCTAATTTTTTCAATTTTTAGTAGAGACGGGGTCTCGCTGTTGCTCAGGCTGGTCTCAAACTCCTGAGCGCAAGCAATCCTCCCGCCTTGGCCTCCCAGAGTGCTAGGGTTATAGGTGTGAGCCACCACACCCGGCCCATCCTGACGGTTTCTTTATGTTCTCCTATTCTGTATGTCAGGTAAACACTGGCCGCTGACATATTTGGCCATGTGGTTCCTGTGCTACCAAAATATAAAGGTACACTAAAACTTCAAATCATTTTCAGTCTAAAAAACAAAGCTGAAGGAAAAATAGTTGTTGATTTTTAATATATCAGATTACATCACCATGACAATCACAAAACAGTGCTGGGAAATTTTATTCTATACACGCAAATTGCAACCTTGATTTTCCAACTGAACAAAAACACTGCAATTTGGATGACGATAAGAGTATGGTGCAAGTTCAGAACCTAGCATTGTATTGGTGCCAAGAACTGCCAACAAGAAGTAGCCAACTTGGTCACCACAGCATTCATAAGATTGTGAAACATAACCTAGTTTGTGTTATTCCTTGTCAGGCAAGGGCTGATACAGCAAAACATATCCCCAGAGATATACAGCTCATGTAAGAAAATTCTGATTTTTAAAAGGGTAGCAGAAATGATTTGGGGCATGTACCTTACTACAAAAATTCTAAAATAAAGGGAGAAGAAGAACACAGCTGTCTTTTTTTAGGCAGTAGTTCATGCCTGCACTACTAGGTGTCAAGCATTTACCCATCAATCATGGGTTGGTATGGCAGCCAGGTATTAAGTGACAAGGAGATAAGGTAAACACATTCTGGCCTCATGCTGAGTTTCACACAAGGAATACCTTATTTCAGAAGTCATGGTAACCAATAAGAAAAACCACAGATATTGTATCCAGATGGCTGGCTTGAATATATAACCAAGAGGGCTTCCTTCCAATATTAGCTTCAAAGTGATTCCTCCCCAAAACGAGAAAAAAAAGAAAAAAAAGAAAGTATAATTCTTGGGATGTACATCCTTTATGGAGAGTTACATTCTGTAAATTCAAACCTTTTTTCTACATGTGTAATATACGGGATATGATCCCACCTCCTCCACTCACTCTCATTTCTTTGGCTGAATGTAAGTCATTTGTGAGCTGCTGATCGTCTAAACTAAGCAAATAAATACTTTCATTTTCAATTAACTAAATATCATACTGACTGACTGTCCAGTTTAAAGATCTAGGCAAGCTAATGACATCACTGAGTTTTTTTTTTGCATGTTTGTTTTGTTTTAGATAAGAGCAATGGGCAGCAAATAACTATGAATTCCACTATGGGAAGAGGGACTGTTGTGAAAATTTGACACCAATGATGCAATGCATTATAGCTCTTCGGTGTAAATGACAAGCCAGCATTCATTATCCTATTCATACCCTTGCTTAAAAAGTCCAATTATAACTCAAGTTTTATATTAGAAAGAGCAAGCAAAGCACAGAGAATTAGAATTTACCCCCCAGGTGATTTGATCCTGAATTTTAGGATCTCACAAGGCAGTGGGAAATTTATAGGCAGTAAGGATTAGGCTAAAATGTATACGAAGCTCTTGAAAGTACTACCTCCCATTTACATTTAATTACATGTCCTATTAGGATAAAATGCTTAAGTTGTGACATTTGCATATTTTCTCTGGTAATGAACTTCAAAGCAAAAGGATATAAGCTAATCTTTCAAAAAGGCACCTGCATATCACTCTGCCACACTATATGCCTATGGAACATACTTTTGCTGATTTGCAACTCTCTATTAACCACAAAGTCCACTGCTTCTTAGCCACATTCTACTAGATGTGATATCTGTACCAATCTAAAGCCTGGAATTTCTCCAGAGTGGAGTCAGCCTGGGGCAATGTGTCTTCCATTTAGAAACTGTAATCAAACACTTTGTAACACACCAAGTAATAATACATCAGCTTTCCTCTTAAAGGACAAGCAAAGGTTATAAATAGTGAAAGTTCAGTAAATTGCCCAAATCTAACACTATTGTCAATTCCAACAAATACGATGCTAACAAATTCAGTTAAGAGAATATTACTTTACAGTAGGAAATTAGACAATGCCAGACAATTTATACTTCAGTGGCCTGTGATGTCACTAAAATACAACCACTGCTGGGTTGGAAGGCAGTCTCTAATTTGCTCACTAATAACTGGGTGAGGACAATCTTAGCCAAGGGCAGGAGAATGTTAAAAACTGCTGCAGCTGTGTATGCGAGGTGTCTTTTATCAGACAGCAGATGCACCAAAAAGTTAATTCACAAGGTTAACTACAGGTTATTTGGGTTTATTATCCTAGACTTGATGCAACATCAAGTTGAACCTGTTAAGATTATAAATAGCACCCAACCTTGATTCCTGACTGTTTTTGTTCCTTATTCTTCAAAGGCAACCCTTCCTACTTTATTTTCATATTCTATTAAACTATTATCTGTCAGGTACCTATATAGAATAATTGTATAAGAGAATGGTACCACCTATAAACACAGTAGAAAATGCTTTCCGAATCTAATATGCATACTAACTCATATTTAGGAATATGAGTTTTTCTTTTTAATATTCTTGATTTGACCAACATAATTTAGGGGTTGCAATCTCTCTCTCTTTTTTTTTTTTGAGACAGAGTCTCACTAGGGCACCAGTTGGCGTTGGTGCACACGACTGTCAAAAAAGTACTATTCAGGCAGTACTCAATATTTCCACTGCGAGAATACCTACTAATTATTTACTGATTTCATCACAAAACCTCTTCCATTTCTTACAAATGAGCAGAATTCTTGGATGTTCACAGAGCACTTAGACCATTTAGATTCCTATAATTACATATCTTGTAGACGGTTTTTTGAAATAGATCCTTGTACATGACTAATAAAAAGAATATACAAAAATCAAATTGATCCTTAATGTTTCAACATAAAAAATAACCATGTCTGTGATTACAAGGATACGGACGACACAAGCCCTATGTCCTGCCAATGACAGGCAAGGCTGTCATTTAGCAACGTAGTTGTATGAACAACTGACTGGAAACGGGTTTGTCCAAAGGTAGGTATACACACTAGCTCTTATGTCACCGAGCTAAGTTCGGTATTGCTTAAACAGGCCAGGTAATTGTCAAAAGAGAATTTCACCCAGTTTGGAGATAGCGACGATGATAAGGATCATAGCACATCAGCATATGGACAATGGGACCATGCGCACTCCATTGTGCACACAATTAAAACTTGCTTCTTAACCAAAAATATATGGCCCTAATGGGTCGGCGCGAGCGAGAGAGATCCATGTATAAAACAGCTGCCTCTAACCTCAGTGAGAAGAGCGCGCCGCGCACTTCCCAGCCTTCTTATAGCAATCTAGCATAAAGCTTAAATCTGAGGCAGTACTTAGTCTTTTTATACGAAGTTTAGGAGAAGCCAAGCTGCAGCCGGCCAACGTCGAGTTAGAAATTTTATCACCGATGGAATATGACCCGAAGCGATAGCGCTCTCACATCCACACACGAACACAGAAGGCGTCTAGAAGACTTATTATATGCCTCATGTGGCTTCTATCTCGTTACTACATCTCCTTAATGTGTAGGAATAACCAATTTATGATACAATATATCACATACAGAACTCTTGAAGTGACACACGTGCCATTCATGTGGACACACGCATCAAGACAAGTCAAGCCTTATGTGTTCGCCAAGCCATCTCTTTCATATGCTACGTGCCTATGCCATTGAATCAAACGCATACATATGCATCTTAGAAATTTAACAATATAATCAATACATGTAAAAATTCTGGGTAAGTCTATGCGCCATTACTATCGACCAGTCTGTTATTCCAAACACTAGAATTTTGAGAGGCTTTTGTATATAATAACAGTAAAGCTACATTAAGAGCATATAATAATTCAGCCCACTTGTGATTCAGTGCTGAAAAGTAGAGCTCTATTTTACGGGACGCTAGGCTAGTATGACACCACTGGAAATGAAAAAAAAACAAAACATGGCTCGAGCTCTCAGTGTCTTGCTATTGCGAACATAGGGAATCCAATAGATGCAGTCCGCATTCACAACTGTCGGAAGTGCAAGTCAAGGCAATGATCTTGTTTTCTGAATCATACTACAACTGGGACTACATCACGCAGAACTACTAGGCAACCACAGGACTATTATAAAAGTAGACTTATGTGACATAGTGGCCACAAATGGTAGAAGGTCAAATTTCCTCCATATTCAATCTAAAGGATCATACTATGGTCTATTCTCTCAACCTACAATCACAGACATAATCAAAAACTAAAAAACATAACCAAAACAAAACACCTTCCCGAACAAATAGTAATAACACAAGCCACATAAAGAAGAAAAAAACAAGATAATCCAAAACATCAACAGTCTATCCAAGAGACAAAAACCTACCAAGACTAAACCGAGACACTGCTCAGCCACAAACCAACATCCTTACATAAGTATTAACTAGACAAT